ATTGCTTGTTTTATTTTGAGATGTCTTCTTCAGGATCTAGTCGAAGTGAAAATCCGGGTTGGAAATATGGATATAACCCGAATCCAAATGATTGTGAAAAAGATACGAAAGGGGGAATAAACTGGTTTAAGAAGCATATTGCTGGTATTAAGGGGGATGTTGCCCCTTCTAAAAAAGTTCCTGAAGCTATCATAGAGGAGATTAAGCAATATATGAGTTTTGTAAAACAAAAACAGGAATAAAATCTGTCATTTGAATAGATCTATTTCTGCTACTTCTAGAAGAAGTGATCCGGGTTGGAAGTATGGTTATAGCCCAAAACCAAACGATAAAAATTGTATAAAGTGTAATTTTTGTGAAAAAGATACCAATGGGGGTATTAATCGATTCAAGAAACACCTTGCCGGTACTAAAGGGAATGTTGCTTCTTGTAAAAAGGGTTCCTGAAGCTATTCGGGATGAGATTAGACAACTTCTGAATTTAAAAGAACCAGAAAATGATGAAAATGAGCTTTGTTCTACAGAAATATCTTTTCCAGGTTCTTCTAGAAGTAGTGATCCGGGTTGGAAGTATGGTTATAGCTCGAATCCAAATGACAAAAATCGTATTAAATGTAATTATTGTAGAAAGGATACTAATGGGGGCATTTATTGGTTTAAAAAACACCTTGCCGATATTAAAGGGGATGTTGCCCCGTGTAAAAATGTTCCTGAGGCTACCATGGAAGAAATTATACAATATTTGAGTTCAAGGAAGCACAAAAAGATAGAAAAGGGTAGAGCAGTCAAGACTCCTAGGGCCTCATCTGCACATACTAGTAACAGGGAGGTTGAAGACGAGGAGGAAGAGGCAGCTTCAGAAGAAACAGAGGAGGACGAGCGTTATATTGAAGGAGGAGATGACTTTGATCATGATGGCCTCGATTCTGATGCATATGATAAAGCTGACCCAATTCCTTCTGATGATGATGATGACTAAAGACTCTTGGTGTTGAGTGTTGAGTGTTGACTATTGTGTCTGTATATTTTCTGAATTTTTATATATTTTTTTTTCTTATTTTTAGTTTCTAGTTCTACTATCTAACTTTTGTGTGTAGAGTCTACAGTGTATCAGACTATCAGTGTATGTTTGTATGGTTTTACTGTTTTAGCATTGTATGAAAAATATGGATTATGGTCTTATGGATTATCAAAATACTGGGATTATGGTCTTAGTTTTTTTTTTTCAACTGGCCCGCTCAGGTTCTGGGCGCTCGCCTAGGCATTGGGCTGCCTGGACCTCCATGGCCGCCTAGGGGCCACCAAGTGCTTTTAGAAACACTACATATACGAAATCTTTGAATGTAATCAATTTTCTCAACTGCAGTTAGAAGTGGTAGTTTGCAACACTATTCTTTGTTCCACCTTGTCTTGTAAATGTTTGTTAAGCATTTGTATGTATTGTACCATATGGGCAGGGCTTAGTAAGCGCACTACAACTGAGGGACTTAGGGAAGCTTTCTCCAAATTTGGCCAAGTTGTTCATGGTATGTACTTCTTGAGACAAATTTTATGCACACAATAATGGAAACAAAATGGTGGAACTGTTTATTTTAACAGGAAATAGTCGTATGTGTTTGCAGCCAGAGTTGTCACAGACCGGGTTTCAGGATACTCAAAGGGCTTTGGTTTTGTCAAATATGCCACACAGGAGGAGGCAGCTGAGGGTATAGCGGGCATGGATGGCAAGGTAGGAATTTGAACTATTGCTTTCATGCTAAGCGTTCATGATCTTGGAATTGTGAATGTCACAGAAAACCCGCTGTTCCTATGAAGATGATGCATGATTCTTGTATAATTTCAACCTGTTTTTGCAGTATATTATTGAATGAGTTTTAAGAAGATGTGTGACTGCCCAGTTTTGAGAAATAAATATCAAATTGTTTTGATAGCGTTTCTAGAAGTAATCTAATTTACTTTTGTTTTCAGTAATAATGCAAATGTTGATATTGTAAATATTATACATGTTTCAGTTAACAATATCCACTAAGCTATCCCATTCTTTGAAAAGGAAGCTGAATAATTATTTCTTCCATCAAAAATTGCAACTTCAATTTGTGTGATAAACCTGAAAGTAGTGTTTTATTATTATTATAATTCGGTTTTTCTGTTCTAGTTGCACGCTTTGATATTTTGATTGTTCTTTGCAGTTTCTAGATGGCTGGGTTATTTTTGCTGAATATGCGAGGCCCAGAACTCCCAACCCCCCATCTCAGACTGAATTTCAACCATGAGGTGTCATGGAATTTGAGCTAATTTATTATGGCCTGTGGAGCACTGCTTTTTTGTGGATTATAAATTGTTTGCTGGAGATGGGATCATAAACCTTAGCTTTTGGGTTAAGGAACTCTTTTGAGGGTTTAAGTGCCTGTTTATTGTGGTAGAAAGGAAAAAGAAATAGAGGTTCATAACAGTGGAGGTATTCGGGTTAGGGGCGGTATCATTCGGGTTTATAGTAGTAGAAAGAAATGAAATAGAGACGCATTAGCGGTTAAGAGGTAACTCTTATGATTGCTTGGCTTACTGGACTGGACATAATTCAAATGCTTGTGAGGAATGTACACAAGGGTTGCCTACATTTCCAACAGATTGATAGCATCGAAGGAAATTCCTTGTGGCTGTCTTGCCATTCATTGTGATAATTGTGCCTGATCTTGGAAAATACTTTTACAATCTCTTAGTAAAATACTTTCTAGTTATCTTGCCATTTATCTCATTTTGATATTGAGATGATCAATTTGAGGATATTTGGGCATCGAAACTACCTTTTCTAGTGAAATTTTTGTGGTAGGCTCCAATTTGATTGTTTAGAGCGTCAGCTTTATATAAACCAAGATGCTAGGGTGAGCCATGGGCTCATGGAACAGTGTAAGCCCAACGGTTTAGATTGAATCTGAGTTGATTTGACGATCATGACTGTATATCGGTAAGACGAAATACAATTGTGACGGTCATGACTGTATATCGGTAAGACGAAATACAATTGTGATCATTAGATCGGTTCAAATTCAATCTGGACCGTTGAGTTTATACTGTTCCATGAGCCCATGGGTTAACCGGAGCTTTACTTCCCCTATAGCATAGAAAATCTATGCTTCTACCATCTAGCAGTTCAATTTTGATCATGTGAGTCACTCATCATATGATCTTAGATCCGATCCCTTAGAGTATATTATTTTTAATTTTTTTAATACAAAATGTATGAATAGTAAATTGGTACATGCCATCTTCTCATTGGGGCGCACTTCTAAAAAATATTAAAAATAATTTTTCAATAAAATATAATAACAAAAATACCCCTTGAAACTTTCAGGGGTATTTTGATCATTTATTTTATTGTGAATATTGTTTTTATTTGTTTTACAATTGCGAGTTTAATAGAGGATTGGACATTCAAATTTGGTACCGAAATATTTTGTATAAAAAAAAAAAAAAGCTAGTGTGGAGATGTGACATTGTGATTGGGATAATTTTAGCCTTCCATTCATAATGGACGCTTGGATAAGGGGAAGCATATAAAGTTTATGTTGTAGGGGAAGTATAGAAAGCTTGTCCTTAGAAGGAGGTCACAATCGTTAGCCATTGGATGTAATATTTAATAGATTGAAATATGCGTCACAACATTCGAAGAATTTTGTGACAAACATTGTGCTTAGTTAATGACAAATTCTAAACCACCAGATTGTACATCATTATCATTGTCTTTTCCCAATTTCACATCTAACGACGAATAGTAATTGTAACCTCCTATTCAAAGTAAATGGTCTCACCGTATATATTTCTTTATATATAACCATGAGAAAGGACTTAAGAACTGACTCCAAAGCTCAATGATGATTGTGCTCTTGGAAAGAGACAAGGGAATCAAGCAACAGATTCATAATCCAACTACCCCAAACACCAATCTGGAAATACTACAAATTCTATGAAAAGGACCCAATATGTGACTGAAAAGATGAAATTAGATAAAACTACTTCTTAAGTCGCATGGATAAGGATCAATGCACCATAAACTATCAATCCTTCAGGGAACTTACCAAACTCGGATTCAAGGAAAAAAAAGAATCGATCATTCGAAATGCAACCATATGTATATATGCCCATCCCTACTCATGCATATAGGCAGGTGAGAAATGTATCGGCTTGTGCAGATGATTACATGCATGTTTTTATCATGCATGCAAACATGAAAACGAATGATGGGATTATCCATGGATGTAAGCACAACATAACCTTCATCCATGTGCAGGCATATGATACTCATCCTTGTTATGTTGGACCTTCTATATACCAGCAGACAACTGGGGTTTGACATTGCAGGACATTCCTGATGAAACGAGCGGCTCACAAAGCAGACATGAGTTTATGTGTATGTACATTGGCTCATAATGATGATTGTGTACTTGAATGGATTTCATCTCTTTTACATCTTGTGCACTGGGTATATAGTTGCCTGCCCTGTGTAAAAGCACAACTCGGGTACGGGACTCCTCCCATGCCCGAGCGGAGTAACACAAGCTTGAGTCCGAGTTATTCTGGATCCTGACAAGCCAAAGTGTTAAAAAATAAAAAAAGAATACAAAAAATTCCAAAAATTAAGAAAAATATGTTTAAAATAAAAATAAAAAAGAACACATCTAATAAAAAATAAGTATTTATGGCCAAAACACTTTCTAATCTCTGCCAAAATGATAGAAAACATAAAAAAGCATTTTACAAATAAATTTCTTGTTTTTCAGATTTGTTATAAAAAAAAAATTGAATATTTTTTATGATCCCCAAGTCGGACCGTCCAACTCAAGGATACTTGGGTTCGCAAGGGTGGCGAGTCCAAGTTATTTGGGCAAGTCTGAGTTGGCTCGCCTGAATAATCAAACTCTGGTTTCCTGTATGAGTTTCTTTGGCTGCTAACGAAAACTAATTTAATTCTTCAACATCATTAGATTACAGGTAAATGCAAAATATTATGTTACAAACTGTGGAATTATCGGCTTAGAAAATTCAAAAGGTCGAGTGAAAAAGAAAAATGATGCAGTCATCAGATTACATTTGGCATGTGATTAGTGGTAAATCGCCAAAAGGAACATGCATGTAGCAACATGGGTTTCCTTCCTATGTAGGAATCAGTGTTCATAAATATCTAAAGAGAGTTTTGGGTTTCCAGCTGAGCTAAATGCAAATGGCATTACACATCTTCCAAAAAGAAATAAATATTTATCCCTCATCGCCCTCTAAGCTAAATGCAAATGGCATTACACATCTTCCAAAAAGAAATAAATATTTATCCCTCATCGCCCTCTAAGCTCATCAATATGAAACTATAAACAGAGTACAAGCAGTACTCTACAATTACACAAACTAACAAAACCCATTAAGTTTCATTGCATCCTATAAATATTGTCAGGTCCTATACAATAAATTTGAAATAATGTACATGTACATCACGAAGTTATGATGACAATTGATTTAGTCTCTTCTCAAATTGCTTGGCCCGACGAAGTGCTTCTAATGCTTCAGGTTGTCTCCCTGCTCTTTTCAAATTGAAAGCTTGCATTCTCTCTGCTTTCATCTTTTCTTCCAGATTAGCTCTCTCAACACTAGAGTTTCCTTTCGCCCCAATACTACTAATCCGTATCGCATGTGGCTTTGATGGCGCCTTCACTTCGGCTTCTGAAGAGTTATTTGGATTCTTTGAGAAAGTATGTGCATCATTCCATCCAATAGCCTGTAGTGCAGACAAGAGTTGAGGATCAAGAAGATCATCAACTATGGCTTCATCTCCTGCCTCAACATCATTAGCCCCATGCTTATCAGCCTCCAAGCCACAGCCATCTATCTCCTCCATTTGTGCTTCAAGGGACTTCGCAAGCTCAAATTCTGCTTCTGATTCCTCTATCCGGCCCTCTCTTCTCAGTCGAAGGGCCTGGCGCTTGTGTGCCAATGATGCCTGCTGTAATTTGAAACGATCACGACTTGAAATAGGTCTTCGGGGTTGATTTTGTTTTTCCTCTTTAATGTTTGAAATATCATCTGAAGTGGAGACTGATGGTGTAGTATTGGCAACTTGGCCTGTTTCTATGCTCTTCTCTAGGAGCTTAGCCTGCCTCAACTCCTCTTTGGCTTCTGCTAACTTCCCTTCTTTTTTAAGTGCTAGAGCATTTTTTTTATGAGCAAGTACAGCTAGCTGAGAAGAGTTTCGGTCACTAGGAACAGCGAGAGAGATCTTAGGAGCACTTGTTTCTATTGAAGCATCTGCTTCATGGACATGCTTTCTCTCCATGGGTTCAGCCAACTTCTCTCTCCTCTCATTAGCAGCATCCTCTTCATGGATAAGGCTACTCTCCATGGCTTGAACAAACTGTTCTCCCCTCTCATTAGGAGTGGACAATTTTTCTGATACATGAACCACTGATTTGAGGATTTCAGCTGGTTTGCTTGATGGTCCTTGAGTTTCTACAATAAATTCAGAAGCATCATGATGAACAGAATGATTGTCGTTGGGTAAAATGATTGGGGCTGAATTCAAATTGTTTGTCGTATAAGCATCCCCAGATAGAAGATCGAGTATTTGCACTGACTGAGTGTCAGTTACTTTTGAAGTTAAAGCTTGGTTCTCTGTCAAATCCATGTTTACTGAGTATGATATATCATCACTTATACCTCCCTCTGCAACCTTCTTACCTTGTTCCTCTTTATTGGCAATGGGCACACTGCCTTGGTTTTCCACCTTAAGATCTGTATCTTTCTTCCCCAGAACTTGAGTTTTCTGGGAAGACTCTATTTCTTCCATCTCAGCCTCCAAAACCTTGGCTTTCTGCAACTCTTCGTCCGCCTCATCGGACTTTCCTTGCCTTCTTAGCGCAAGAGCCTTTCTCTTTATCCCTAACAATTCCTTTTGGACATTTGCTTTACTTCTTACCGGGCGGAATGAGATTACAGGAGAGATAATAGCCGAATACTCAACATCAATATATATTTTTTCAGAAGATTCCTTAGGCACTCTCGGATCTTTCATCATTTCAGATGAGTCTGAGTCTTTCCCTTCAATTCTGACATTTCCTGTTTCTGAATTGGAGATACCTGGCTGGTCATCGTCCTTCCAACCCAAAATAGTTAAAAGAGATAATAGAGCTGGATCATGCATATCTTGTTCTGATACATCTGCATCATCCTCGTCCACTCGAGCAGACAAATCCCCAGCAGGTATGCCTGTATTGCCCTGTTTTAGACCCTTTGTATTAAATCTCACTTCAGTAGTCCTACTGGAATTGTTTTCCATCTCTTCTAGTTCTTGTTCAAGGACTTTCCCTTTTCTTAGCTCTGCCTCAGCTTCATCTACTAGTCCTTCCTTTCTCAAAGCAAGAGCCCTTCTTTTGAGGCCTAACAGCTCTCTCTGAATATCTGATTTTTTCTTTGTCAAACTAGCAGTTGTAATGGTTTCTTCATAGGCCCCAAGCCCGTCACCCTGTTGAGACTGCAAATTCTCAAGGTCTTTCTCTAGTAGTTTGGCCTTCTTTAGTATCTCCCTTGCCTCTGAAGCATTTCCAGCACGTTTTAGTCTAAGCGCTTCTCTTTTCAAGGAAAGCACCTCAGCCTTTAATGCTTCCCTATCCTTAGGAGCAGTATCACATGCACTGGTATCTGTCTCATCCATTTCTTCACCCCAGCCAAAAGATTTCAAGGCTGCAACTATATCTGGATCATTCAAATCATGATCAGTCACTTCGAGGGCCACATCATCTCCAATGTCTTGAATCTGGGTGAAATCAAAGCCAGAGTGGTGTTCAATATTCGTGGGTAAATCATCTTCCTGTTCAGCATTAATACTCCTGATCAGTGCAGCAATCTCATCATCAGATTCCTCATCTTGACCAAAAAACTCCTGTTCCTCTAACTGTTTCTCTAAAACTTTCGCCTTCTTGAGTTCTTCTTTTGCTTCTGCAAGTTTACCTTCACGCTTAAGAACAAGAGCCTTTCTTTTGTGAGCAAGCACCTGGGACTTTTCAATCCCACTGGATTCCTGACCAAAACTAGATTTTTGAGGAACTTCACCAAGAAGGTTTGAGAGTTCACCCTCAAAGCTGAGATTTTTGGGCTTCTTATCACCATTGTGCAGATCTGCATCAGACCACCCAAGGCTTTTCAGTTCACTTGCGAGGTCATTCTTTTCTTCCTTTACCCTTCCCGATGAAAGCTTAGTACCACTTGTGGAGTTTACAGACCCATCAGTTTTCTCATTTGAAGCTCGATTGCTAAAGCTTGAAGCCTTTTTCCGGCTCTTCCTCGATGCAATATCCAATGCATCCGCTTGCCTTTCAAGCTCTTTGCCCCTCTTAAAGGCTCGAAGTGCTTCATCAGATTTACCTTCTTTTTTTAGTATACCATACTTTTTCTTCTCTTCCTGTGCCTGTCTTCGCAACTCGTCTGGGCTTTGGGTGTCCATCTCATCTGAACCTTGTCTACATACCTCAATTGAGTTACTCCTAAGGATATCATCTTTTCTCTCGTGAGTGGTGATGCTTTTCTGTGAAGTAGAACAGGAACCACTGGTGAAAGCACTATTAAGATCAGAACCCTCATCAGGGTTGGTTTCCTCTACTGATTGAAGAGGTTGTTTTCTGTCAGCACCAAGAATCTGCTCCACAGCTTGATTCTCCAATTTAGGTGCTTGCTTTGATCCACCTGTAGAAAAAGACTAACTTTTAGTTTAATGATACAACCACTGATGCTCCTCATATGTACAATCTACAAAACATAAAAACACACAAAACTTGGGAAATTATAAAGTCAAATGCCAATTGCTATTGTTCTTTGAGAATTTACAATTTGTTCCCTAAGTAGTGATTGATTTAGAAAATTTCAATTGCTTAAGTTATATCAGGTCATTATGAGTAGTTATCACATCTTAAAATAACACATCCGGCAAATGTGAGAATGTTGCTTATCTCAAGATCGGAAATCACAAGATACAAGTTGATGCAGTCACCTCATTCTTTCGCAATCATTTAGGCGATAAGAAGATTCAAGAGGAACTAGCACAAGAGGCTTCTTGTCAGATACGTACATTCCTGATACCATGGATAAGCAGGACACTCTAATGGCTGTTCTCAAGCATCAAGAATAATGAGCAGTATGTTTGGAGTCTGTCCCTAGAATATTTTTGACATGGCCTACATTTGGGTGCCACATGCTTACCTATTTGATGGTAGTTGCAGCCAACTGATGTGGCAGGTTTTCTTGGATCTATGGATGAGAAATGTAAAGGCTAGCTATGCACATATGTCAAAGAATATAATTCTAGAATGCCCTTCCTCTTGGACCAAAGGATATTTATGAACACTTATTTGCACTAGTAACTGTGTATTGAAAGTGATGTACGTATACTTGTGGAGTGCAAGCTCTTCAGGCCCTTGGATGCTTCCTACAATCTACGACAAGATCACAACCTTGCTTCCTCTTTAGTTAAGTTCCAAACACAAGAGGGGAAAAACAATATATATACTATATGGCTGGGAACAGTCCACTAGCTGACAGCTACAGTGTACGCCCAACGGCCTAGATTGAATTTGAGCTAATGTGACGGCCACGACCTCATTTTGTAATATAATTTAATATTTTCTCTACCAATCCAAATCACATGAAATTTTAAGCGTCCATTCTTCTCATCAAGACGCACCTAATAAAAATATAAAAAAATAATTCGCAAAAATTAAATTGACCAAAATACCTATGAAACGACCAAAATACCCCTAAAAGTTTCAGGGGCATTTTGGTCAATTTATTTTTTGTAAATTATTGTTTAGATATATTTATTAGATTCTCCTATTTTTATATACTAGATGCTCAAAATTTCAAGTAATTTGGATTTGTAGAAAAAATTAAAATTAAAATACAAAATACAATTGTGACCATTGGATTAGCCCAGATTCAATCTAGCCCATTGGGCTTATACTGTAGCTATCAGCTAGTGGGGTTGTTCCCCAATTTTTTCCATATATATATATATATATATATATATATATATATATATATA